CCCCAAAACCCCAAAACCCCAAAACCCCAAAACCCCAAAACCCCGTGATTCTTATGAATTTTGAAAGGGTTATAAATTAATTATGATAAAAAGAACTAAAAATTTTGGTGTAATAGCTGCCATTTTGTTGCTCTTATGAGCTCCTATACTGGCGCAGATAGATGGGAACCTTGACTTGAGGGAGAGATGAGAGCGTTACGGATTTGGGTACGAAGAATATCAGGTTACTACTGAAGATGGGTATATTAATACACTGATGAGAATTCCATATGCTCCAGATAACCAAGACGTTCCAAACAAACCACCTGTGTATTTGATTCCAGATGTTGTACTCACAGCTGAGATGTTCACTCATCTTGGATCTGAGAATTCCCCTGCATTTAACTTAGCAAGCCAAGGGTTTGATGTATGGCTCTCAAATCCTAGAGGAAGTCGACATAGTCAAGATCATGTCGAGCTCGATTCAGATGACACACATTCAGGTTATTGGGACTATGACTTAGTGTCTTACAGACAAGATTATATGGCAGATATCACCACCATCAAGGACTCTACTGGATATGGTACCGTTGGTGTCTTTGCATTCTATAATGGAGCTATATCATTAGCCTATGCAATGGCTATTGAGCCTGAATATTTTAGTAACAATGTGAATGTAGCTGCTCTCTCAGCTTTCGCACCGACATACGCCCATTCTAGTGCACCAGCCTTTGCTTATGCAAGCTATACAACTGTTATCAATCATATGTTCGAAACAATGGGAATAAATGTTATTAATCTAGATCCGCTAACTTTAATACACTCGACTTTATGTGTGAACTTCCCAATATTGTGCAATGCATTATATGGGTTTTATAACGGAGAGACTAATCCTTTCACCGAAGACGTCGAAGGACTTCGCAACAGGTACCTTCTACAGTACGATATGTTCCCAACAAGGCTGAATAGTCATATGACCCAGAGTGCTGCTACAGGAGAAGTAACTTACTACGATTTCGGTCCTGAGGAGAACCTTGAGAGGTATGGTTCACAAAACCCTCCTCCAATTCCATATGAGAATACTAATAATCCAGTCGCCATGTTTATGGCTTCTCAAGATCTATCTTACAATCATGAAGATGATCAATGGTATGCTGATTTAATAGGTGACAATCTGGTGTTTTACCAATATTATGATTTCTCCCACTACGGATTTATTGTTGGCAATACACAACTCTACCTCCCTGACCTAATCGATGTATTTACCGAATATGCAGAACAAAGAGACAGCTAAATACTGAAGGCACCAAAATATGGACATTTTTGATCTTTTATATTTAATTTCAGATCATCCTGCATTCAGAGGGGTTTTGGGGTTTTGGGGTTTTGGGGTTTTGGGG